GAAGGAAACTGCCATCCTTACATGGCCTGCACCATGACTCTAGACAAATAGCAATGTGGTTGACTCTCAACTGCCCACTGCGAAATTAGGAATGGGCAATAAATTCTGGCCTAGTCAGAGATGATTATATCCCATGAGTGAATATAAAAAAAAACTCATAGTTAAAGTTCACTCAGAGATAGTAGGAACTGCCGATGCTGGAGTATTTTTGAGATAACAAGGTGTAGAGCTGGATGAACACAGCAGGCCAAGCAGCATCAGAGGATCAGGAAAGCTGACGTTTCAGGTCTGGACCCTTCTTCAGAAATGAAGAAGGGTCCTTCTGAAGAAGGGTCCAGACCCAAAACGTCAGCTTTCCTGCTCCTCTGATGTTGCTTGGCCTGCTGTGTTCATCCAGCTGTACACCTTGTTATCTCATAGTTAAAGTGTAGCTTTAATGTTGGACAAACATCCTGAGCTGCTTCAGAACAACACGGGGAATAATGGACACAAAAACAAAGGAGAAATGATGGCAGACGACAGTTGTCAATGAGATGGTCCTTGAAGAGGAAGTAGTAGGAATCCTAGAAAGCAGCTGAAGGTTTAAAAGTCAACAGTGCTGGAATGGGGGATGCAGAGAGTGGAATACGCAAAAAAACCCAAATAAGGAGGATGTGTTAAGTGGAATGTTTAGCCAATGTACAGATTATATGGAAAACAAAGAGCAAAGCCGCGAGGATAAATCAGCTGGTCTATGAACTCAAACACCCAGCCAGTATCGAATGGTCAAGAACGAGGAGACACAGTTTTAAAGAGAAAGGCAGGAAGTTTAGAGGGCATCTCAGAAAATATCTTTTCACCCTGAAAGTGCCTCACAACCTTTAAAGAGTACTTGGGCAAGCACTCGAAGTGTCATAACATTCAAGTTTATGGGCCAAGTGCGGGAAAGTGACGTCTAGGTAGTGTGTATTATTTCGCAGTACAGACTCGAAGGGCTGAACAGCCTTTTCTCTATTGTATGATGCTAATGTATTCTGAACAGAGAACAGAATACGCTCCGTCGGAGCTTGCACTCGACTTAGAAACAGAAATACGAGTCAGAGAAGAGACAGATTAAAGAGATACATTCTAGTGGCATGACACCTATTCACAGCTTCTCTACTAGATTTAACTATCTGGTTCTGGGGGATTGGATTCAACAACTTATTTTAAGTCCATCATTCATTGAGGACTTTGGAATTACTGTGTAAACATTCAATTCTAGTCACTGGATCTCGTCTGATGAGCAGGTGTACGGAAGTGTAGTGCTATTTTTAATCATCATTTATTGGAAGGCAGTTGCACCAGTCCTCATGTCAATGTCAAATTGTGCTTGATAGTGCTCCTGTGGAGTGCTTCGGGATGTTTAACAATGTTGAGAAGGTGCTATTCAAATCTAACTTCTTGTTGTAGTAAACACTGACACGGTGCCATTCATATAGGAAACTATTCCAAATTGCTTCACAGGAAAGTGGTGTCAAGAGAGATGTTATGACACGTGCCCAAACAAACGAGCACATGCTGCTCATCGTAGAATCCCTACAGCGTGGAAGCAGGCCATTCGGCCCATCGAGTCCATGTTGACCCTCCGAAGAGTATCCTACTCACACCCAACTCACCCTATCCCTGTACCCCTGCATTGCCCATGGCTGATCCTCCTAGTATCCAGGGATGTGCAGCCTATGGAACAATTTAGCATGGCCAATCCATTTAAACTGCACATCTTTGGACAGTGGGAGGAAACTGAAGCACCCGGAAAAAAAACGTACACAGACACGAGGAGAATGTGCAAACTGCACACAGACAGTTGCCCAAGGCTGGAACTGAACTCAGGTCCCTGGTGCAGTGAGGTAGCAGTGCTAACCACTGAGCCACTGTACCATTCCTAGCAGTACCCATTTCAGAGATGGAAATAACTGGGCAAACATTGTTCAGTCGCAGGTGCAACAGACAGATCACAATGGGAACAAGGAAATTCCAGCCAGTGTTTATGAGGATTTTTTTTCCCTCAGTGCGGATATGAAGGAAATTGTGTGGACTCGTTCTCCGATCCCCTTCCTGCTGCTTATCAGTGAGTTTAATATAAGCAGACAACAGGTTGTCAGAAACTCAGTAGGCCTAGCAATATGTGTGGAGCTAGAGAAGAAGGGTCTGAAGATTTAAAATGTTAAGTCTCTTTCTCTATCCATAGATACTGCCAGGCCTGCTGAGCTTCTCCAGCAATTTGTGTTTTTGGAACAGTGCAAATGTTTTGAGTTTGGTCTGCCTTCTTCAGAACGGAAGAATCTTCTGAAGAGTCCTACTGCACACAGAATGTTAACTCTGTTCCACTCTTCACGCATGCTACTAGACCTGTTGAGTTCCTCCAGCATTCCCCGTGCTTGTTTCAGATTTCCAGCATCTACTGTATTTTGTTTTTACAACAGACATTCGGCTTGGTTTAATGCCAACACTCACCTCAGGGCAGTGTCCCAGGCCCAGTCATCTTCAGTTGCTTCAACAATGACCTTCCCTCCATCATAAGGTTAGGAGTGGGAATGTTCACTGATGATTGCACAATGTTCAGCACCATTCGCAACTCCTCACATACTGAAGCAGTCCATCTTCAAATGCAAGAAGATCTGGACAATATCCAGGCTTGGGCTGACAAATGGCAAGCAACAGGCATGCCACCTCCAATCGAAAACTCTCTAACAACTGCCCCTTGACATTCAATGGTGTTACCATCACTGAATCCCCCACTATCAACATCCTGGGGATTACCACTCACCAGAAACCAACTGGGCGCACCATATAAACACAGTGGCTACAAGAGTAGGTCAGAGGCTAGCAATAATGTGATGAGTAACTCACCTCCTGACTCCCCGAAAGCCTGTCCACCATCTACAAAGCACAAGTCAGGAGTGTGATGGAATATTCCCCACTTACCTGGATGGGTGCGGCCGCAACAAAACCCAAGAAGCTTCACACCATCCAGGACAAAGCAGCCCACTTGATTGGCACCACATCCTCAAGCATCCACTCCCTCCACCACCGACGCTCAGTAGCAGCAGCATGTACCACATTCATCAAAGATCCTTAGATAGCATTGTCCAAACCCACAATCATTTCCGTCTCAATGGAAAGGGCAGCAGATACATGGGAACACCACCCCCTGCAAGTTCCTGTCCGAGCCACTCAGCGTCCTGAATTGGAAATGTATCGCCGTTCCTTCACCATCGCTAGGTCAAAATCCTGAAATTTCACCACCGAAGGGCATTGTGGGTCTACATACAACACGTGGACTGCAGCGGTTCAAGAAGGCAGCTCACCCCCACCTTCTGAAGGGCAACTAGGGACGAACAATAAATGCTGGCCAGCCAATGATACCTGTGACCCGAGTCCACCGCTGTCTCGGAAAAGAGAGTCCCACATTGTACAATTCCTCAAACAATCCACTTCATCCCATTTGGCCAGTTCCAGTCTGGCCGGATCTCAAAAGCTGGCCTTTCGCCTCAGCAACTCTTGACCCTGGACAAAGATGGTGGGACATTTCGATGGGCAGTTCAGTAATGACAGCTTGAGGTGACCTTCTTGGGGGATGGGGAAGGAGGCGAATATTGTACCATTAATACTCTAATACATGACCACAGCCGCTATGCATGATAGAACCATCTCAGGCTGATGCTGGGAACAGCATGTGTAAATGCACAATCCAACTTTTGCTCACTGAAGCTATGGAGGACACAGAATATGAGACAAAGTCTCACGACATATGTTATGTCAATCCTCCTCTCAGTGAAACTCGGCTGTGCTTCCATGCAAAGGATGGATGCACTTTTTTTTAAACTAAAGCAGAAAAATATTGGTCATCGTAAGTCAAGGACTGAATTTGCAAGACTCCCAACTCAAATCCAGGACTAGGATTCCTCTGTGCATGTCAATACAAGAAATACGGTAACACTCTTACCAAAACTTTGCGAACATCAAGAAGCAAGGAGATCAATAGCAGTGTGAAGATGAACATACTCCTGAGCTAACAAACAAGGTCAAACTTCAGAGGAAATGTAAGATGCCCATTTTAACGACACAACAAAAGTTACTCAGCATGCAAATAAGGATGCTGACATGATTTACTGCTTCAGCTCAAGTATGAACAGACTTATAAACATTAATTTGTCTCGCCATTGGGAGCAATAGGGTTTGGCAACGAAAATCAATGCTGCAATGCTATCCAGTGCTAAGATTTGTTCCCTCAAATATCACATCGTTAAAATGTTATAATTCGCACTGAATACTGACATGCCCCCAGTGCAATAAGAACTGGCAGGACAATCACTCAGAACATTTTCCATCCCAGAGCAAGAGCTCCAATGTTTTACAGCATGGCCACTCTTCCAAATGAAAAGATTTCCATGCAATCCCCTTAGCTGGGTCCTCCCAACTAATCTACACCCCTCAAAAACTTTCTGCAGCTTTCAATTCTGCACACATTTCCAGTGGAAATGGAAAAGGACACGGAGAAAGATAATAATTATCTTTAGATGAACAAAACACCCTGATGAGGTGAATGAAAACTCCATCAGGTCTCAGAGAAATAAAAAGGAGATGTATCTTGCTGAGAAGCACCAACAGCCTTTATTATAGAATCATGCAGAAGACAAGGCGACCGTTCAGCCCATTGTCTCCTCTGCTGGCCGTGTGAAACATCTCTCCAAAAATAGCCTCACAATCCAGTAACACAGCCTCAGCAGCAGTGATTTAAAATAAAATTAGGAATCGTGCATTTTTCAAGTTGATTACAAAGGGAAGGTTGAAACTGAACTGTTGGTGACAGTCAAAATTGAGGGCCCGTGGTTGATTATAGATGCACAGAAAGGGGTGGGGTGTGGTGGAAAGGTGTGTAGGACTACACTCAGCTTGTCTGTGCAATGCTACAGTAGCAGCCTATCTCTGCATGCAGTGCTGTATTCCCAGAGCTGAGTGCAATGTTTCCATGTTACCTTCCTCTCCATGTCCTGGAAAGGCAGCATCAGCCAAGGCATCTGGCCGACGAACTCCTGCCAGGGTTTGTACTCTTCCTCGGAGCTGATGAACACCACCTCCAGCTTGTCGCCGTTCTCGCCTTGCTTGAAGCGGCTGTAGAAATCGGCGAGCGCCGCGGTGAATTCCTTGCAAGAGGCGCTCCAGCTGCAGCCGAAGTACAGCGCGACTAGGCGGCCGTCACAGCCCAGCGGAGAGCTCTCCACCTCGGCCTGATCCCGGTCCATCAGCCGCTCTCCCAGCAGCTCGCAAACCAGCTCAGACATCTTCCCAACAGCAGCAACAAACCCAACAACAACAAAAAAAAATCCAAACAAAATCAACAGGGAATGGACGGGGAGTGTGTGAAAATGAAAGGGGGGGAGAGAGAGAGAACAAAAATCTTCAGTGCAAATAATTCACAAGATTAATTCCTTCGATTTTTTTTTGGCTCGATTCTGTAATCTCCTCCTCTCCCTCTGGCTACAGTCTCCACTCCCACCTATGGGTCATGGCAAAGCGAAACTCCAGCACTCCTATTGGTTCCAGCAACATATTCCCTGCTCAGTCCAGACTTTTGTTCCCCATTATGTAGAATTAAACTTTGTTTTCCCTTTTATGCAAACATGTTGAAACCAAAACATTGTTTGGACTTTTAAAAGAAATCATATACAAGATGTGGGTATCCTGGCCAGGCCAGCATTTATTGCTGAGTCCTGAGGGGACAGTTAAGAGTCGACCACATTGCTGTGGGTCTGGAGTCACATGTAGTCCAGACCTGGCAAGGATGGCAGCTCCCTTTATTTAGTGACAATCAGCAATTGATTTCTGGCCATCGTTGGACGCTTAAACTCCAGATATTTTATTGAAATCAAATCCACCTGCCTAATAAAAACCGAAAGAACTGTGGATGCTGTAAATCAGAAACAGAAATTGCAGGAAAGGTTCAGCAGGCCTGACAGCATCTGCGGAGAGAAATCACAGTTAATTTTTTTAGGTTGAATGACCCTTCCTCAGGATTGCCATCATCTGCCTTGGCAGGATTCAAACCTGGGTCTGCATAAAAACAGAGATAGTAGGAACTGCAGATGCTGGAGAATCTGAGATAACAAGGTGTAGAGCTGGATGAACACAGCAGGCCAAGCAGCATCAGAGGAGCAGGAAAGCTGACGTTTCAGGTCTAGACC